ACATGTTTTATCTGGCTAACCTTCTCTCTGTCTGTGTGGTCTGAGTTGTAGCCTATAATCCCTTTTCATCTCAGTTGTTGTTTGGTAAGGTTGATAATGCGTCACCGGGGGCATACTGTAACTATTATCGTAGATTAACACTCCCTGCCTTCTCCATATCTCAATAAGCTCCACCAGTCACATCTACTCCCTGACCACTAAACTGTGCAGCATGGATCACATGTGCACTGAGTCCCCGCAAGGAGATATAGACACAATCACAAGGGTTCAAGTGTGTGCTCATGGTCTGATATAGAAAGGCAGGCCCGAGTGAGAAGCAACCCCTAAGACCGCTTGGATATGTGATGTCTTTCTTTGCCCTCTCCAAGAACTGTACTGCTAATTCAATGCAGAATTTAGAGGCTAAAAACAAAAACAAAATCAATTGTACTTAACTGTAAAAGGGTATTATTGATTGTGAATAGCTCGCTGCTTTAGGTGGCTCAATACTCAAGACAACCCATGTCTGAAAATTCTACTTCACTATCAGGAAAATCCACTTGTGAGACTATCTGCACTTGGTCAGATTATTGACTTATTAATTTATGTTTTATATATTTCAAGCCATATTTGATCACACAGTGGACAAAGAGACCAACCACGGGGCCTGGCCCAGAGTCTCTGCTGTTCTCCAGGAAAACAAAGCTTCATTCACAGTGTGTGTGAGGAGAAAGTGCTTTCATCTCTGGGTTTGTTTGCACAGAAGTCGCTGGAACGCAGTGCAGAGAACAGTGTAGCTTCACACCAGAAGCCAACTACACAGCTCTCACAACATAACATCAGACCACAACACTGGCATCAAACATGAAAGGCACATTAGATTAGGATACATTGTAACTGTTAATGTAATGAACTGCACTTTGAAGATCAACATTCATTATGACATGCAGAATAAATACTGTGTGTGCATATGACAGGGTTCAAACAAGTGATATAAAACAGACACATACCATCTTTTAATAAGAGTAATACCATTTTTCATTCCTGAGATTAAGAAGCTGATATGACATTTTTGTATGGTTTCCAAAAGAGTCATAGGATTTTTCTTGGAGGAGCTTTTAAGCTTTTAACAGGATAGAAAAGCAAAGGTTTTCTGCTTTACACATTTCCTTTTCTTCTTTTTCAATTGTTTTTCAATTTCTAGGCAGTTTTACCTCTTCAGGCCTATACATTATTCAAGTAAAACAATTTGAGATATCTTCTCTATGTAAAAGACGACCTGAGAGGTCTGCATGTTTTTATAAGGAAGGAGCGGATAAGAAATGTATTTTGCCCCTATACCAAACAGAAACATATAATAAGAAGCTAAAGAGGTTGTGAGCACAGCACCATTGGCTATATTTACTTTAACCCTGAAGAAGAAGCCAGTTTCTGTTCACCTTTCCACTGTCTCACTCTTCCTCTCTCACACACATGCGCACTAGTACATCTTACGTGTTCCTCTCCTCTCCTCAAAAGGACAGGAAGCAGCCCCACCCAGCATTCTTTACACATTACTTCATTGTTTGTTTAAATCCCGCTCAGTCACAGAAGCAGGGTGTGTGTCTGCAGGGGAGCCACGGAGTTAGGAGAGAGCGCGGTCAGGGTGGGACATGTTATTCAAACTTATCATCAATCAGACGGCACAGTAGCCACTGGGATTATTGGTCCCTGTTTGGCATATCTGATCCCAGCCGGGGAAACACAACTCAACCCCAACTATTTATTCAAAACACATTCTTAAAGGTTGCAGGGAAAGTTCAGTTATTATTAGGTTTATATTATTTCTATCTATCATCCAAATGTCTGTTTTCAGAGGTAGTGATGACAAGCAGATATTTTATGTAACATTTTACATTTTTTGTAATAACTTTATATTTAACTTTTATATTTCTTCTGTGCAATCTGTAATTGGTTTGGTACTGTTGTTTAAACCAGTTATCAATAACTCCAATATCTTAAGTCATTTTGCTAACTTTAAAAAGGTTCCTCAGTTTTAAATATAGACGAACAATTTCTAATTATTCAAAGAAATAAATACATTATTGTAATTAGAGTATCTTTAAATCCTGTCATTTGGAGTTGTGGCCCGGCCTAGATAAACCCCTATGCTCTGTAACTGCTTCTCTGAATTGGAAAGAAAACATTCCTAAAAACACAATTTCGATGACGAAGACAAATATGTGAGTGCTCTTTGCTCATCCACCTGCACTGACAAAAGGGAATCAAAGAGCGATGTGGGTGAATTTCTCTGAAGCTGCTCGCCTCATTGTTTTCATAATTTCAGGCATAAGAGAAAATCAGTTAATTCATTCATCACATTCTCACCAGGTATCTTCTCACTGTGATACATGTGATTTAAATCCTTTTATGGATCGTCATTGCTCATCCAGTTTTTCATTCACACAATGAACTTTAAATTGTGTCTTATAATGAGATCATGTCATTATTTGCGCCAGTGTAGAATCCCCAAATGGAGACAAAAGCATTGCTCTGTGATAAGAACGGTACAGATGATATCTGTTGGGGCTTCAGGGTGGGTTGTATCTTTAGTAGTTTTCTTTGCTGAGCTCTTGCCAGTGATCAGGAATATGCCAGGAAACACTGTGTTGTTAGAGCAGGAGTGTCTGGCTGCGCTGTTGCCGTGGACACCGTCTCTAGCTGCTCCTCAAGGCCGCTGATGTCACAATAACAGCCACAAACATGATCTGAGAGCAGCCAATACTCTCCCTCTCTCCCGGCTCATGATGATCCAAACGTATGACTTCTTCTTCTGCAGCAACTTCTAGAATTTCCCTGACGCAGCCCGGCTCTCGCTTTAGACTCTCTCTCTTCCACTTATGCTGCCTGACGTTTCCTCTTCTGCTACTAGTTTCATTATTCAAAATGGCTGCATGTTTTGGTTGGTGGCATTTTTTTCTTTGTGGAATTGTTATTATCAGGCTATATTATCAGACATTGTTGTCGGCATGATTGGCGAACGTAGTTGTCTAAAAGTAAAAACCATATGTGTCTTTCTCAAACATTACCCTTCCATGTAAACCCACACACAAACTGCTGCTCCAGGGTCATATGGGGTAAATGCAATATGATCCTCCATGCCTTTGCAACCCCCTCCGCACACACACTCAAACCTACGTAGCAAAATCACACACACTCTCACTCTCCCCTAGCTGCATGCCATTGTCACTCTCTGGTTGAGTGCTATTAGAACCTGCTTTCAGCTCCTCTCGTCTCACACACTCGCCCACTCTTTCAACACACACACACACACACACACACACACACACACACACACACACACACACACACACACACACACACACACACACACACACACACACACAGAACTCTTCTGAATGTCAGCTCAGCTTAAATACACATGGGTGGTGAACAACCTGCTCAGTCCTAACAGGAGACCTTAACCCCAGCATAGGAAAGTGTGCTTCTGTTTGTCTATACACTTGTGTTCCAAATTATTCAGAAACTGCAACATACTCCTTATCTGCCTGCAACTAAACCCAGGACATGAATTGTGTGTGAAATGGGGTTAAACTCACCAACAGTATTTGTGTCATGTTTTAGTTATGTAGTGTATAAACAGCTTTAATGAAATCCAGACATGTCTTTTATGGCTCTACCTTTTATCTGCAAGTGTCTGTGGGTTTTGTGTTACGTCTAAAGGAAAACATATCATGCTTTCACATTGTCTACAGTACACTACATCTTAAGTTAAGACTCTTAACTATATTACAGGCTTCTACTAAAATTACTAATTGGGAAATGAAGATATCCCTAAGCGTAATACCTTGTGTATTTATATTTGATATTTATCCGTTTATTTATCAGGGACAGCGAAACAAAATACGACATTTCTGTAAATGCGCCAGTTAGCAAGAAGGCTATTTTTCATCTGGAATTCAAGTCGACTACACATCTGAAAGAGGCCCCCACTGTCATTAAAGTGTCCCCCTCTCTGCTCCTTATCCCCCACCCCTTTCCCTCGCACCTGTCCGGTGCTCCAGTGTCAGTGAAAGTGAAGGAGATTTGAGGGGAATGGAATCATGACAGGATACAGAGATGAATCCCAGTGGGGGCCAGCTCTGTCAGCAAGTGTTGAGCCCAGGCTGCCTCGGTCAGCTCAGCTGTGCCTCAGGACTGAAAGTAAATCTTCTTGCTTAAACTGGTGACCTGAGCGTGTGTGTGTTTGTCTTATGTTTGTGTGACGTGTTTCCGCCACCTGTTATCCGAACATGACCCCGATGTGTATGCATTCTTGCTTGCGTGAGAATGTGCGTGTGTGACTCCTCTCCAGACTGAAGGTATAATTGGACACAGCAAAAAGGGATCCCTGACTTTGATAATGATTTGAAGACTCTCAAGTGTGACCTCAGGATGACTGCTGATACATTATATGTGGGCATTATTTATAGCGTTAGACATATAACCAAGATGGGAGTTTGTAGAGCAGCACTAGTGTGTGTCATGACCTCCTGTGGCTAGCACACATACATATATCTCTGCTGGGACTGGAAAAAGCTAGCCGTTAGCAATCAGTGCTAGGCTCATCTTAGAACTAATGTGAATGTGGTATTAAATTGAGCAATTCTCCATGTTATGATGTTACACATAAGCCAAAATGAACCTGCTTCCTATCTGCCATAATCACATTGTAATTTTTTAAAAGGCCAGTGAATTATGGTCATGTTATTTTTACAGTAGCTCAGAATGGACAAACCAAACATTGACATTGCTATTCTTTAATTCTTTAGCCTTAAAGCTACAATTTTGACAGAGTGCAAGTAAACCTCACAATATGATTTTTTCCAAGATATTCCTACAAAAAGTTTACTCTGGTAGTTTTAACATATCCTTGTTCATAAATTGTAAGAATATTTATTTTCCTTGTGATTGCAGTGAATAAGCATCCTGAGTTTATGTGTCATTCTGACTCAGTTTCCCCCTCTGCTTTCGTCCTTCAGGGCCGTTGTTCCAGGGAGAACTGCAAGTACCTGCACCCTCCTGCCCACCTAAAGACCCAGCTGGAGATCAATGGCAGAAACAACTTGATCCAGCAGAAGAACATGGCTATGCTTGCCCAACAGATGCATCTCGCCAACGCCATGATGCCTGGCACGCAGCTATCACCTATGGTGAGAGGATACACACGTATGAACACACCACAGCTACTGCCCACGGTGAGAACATATACGTGTAAAAGCTCGCCCATGTACAGCTCCTTCACTGTCTGTGTGGCTCTTTTCGTCTTCTGATTTGTCTTCAGTCAGTCCCTCTCTTTTCCCATACAAAAAGCTCACAGTTTGTGGCTTGTGTGTACATTATGTCATGTTATTTCATTCCCCTGCTTTTACTTTTGCTCTCTTCCAGCCAATGTTCTCGATGTCGCCAGGCATGGCCACCAATGCCAGTGCAGCAGCAGCTGCCGCCGCAGCCTTTAATCCCTACCTGAGCCCCATGTCACCAGGCCTGATGCCCCAGGATATCATGCCCAGCACCCAGGTCCTCATGGCCTCCAGCCCCAACATGAGCCAAGTCCCCAACGCTGCCGCCGCTGCAGCCCAGAAGCTGCTGAGAACAGATAGACTTGAGGTAACACACACACTGATGAATGTAACCTGTTTTTTTCAGCATTTTATGGAGTATATAATCAACCCACTCCTTCCTAAGAGTTTCAGGAAAACTAATCAAATCTACTTCATGGTGTGTTTTTCGTTGGGAGTGGAGTGGCACAGGATGATAATGAGCCTGTAAACAAGACAAGTGTTGTTAACAAGTGGTTTAACAAGCATAAGAATAACGGCACTCTTTATTACACTTGGATTACTGTGTCTGAGGCGATATGGTAATATTAATAGCCAGTACCATTATGCAAAGAAGAAGGTGATTAAAATGAAATTAAAATAAAACCATAAAGCCCATAAACTGCAGTATTTCATCAGATTATGAAGCCAAGTGCATTCTAAGAAGTGGTTGTCATTAAGAGTTGTTACATTTTTGTCTCAACTCATTCTCATTTACTCTGCCTCATCTATTTCCAGTACAGTTTGTGCTTTCACACTGTACGCTTCACAAAATACCATTAGAGATGCACGGGAGATGAGCCTGAACTTGTTTTATCATGATTTGAGTGGAAAAGGCCTTAATGATTTCCTCAGCTACAGTAATAGTATAGCAGCTGTTAAGTAAAAGTCCTTCCTGTACCGTAGCTGCTAGTGTGATTGTTGAGTCAACTAGTTCATGTTGTAGGATATGTTTAAGTCAGTAACGTTAAAGAGCAAAGTGCAAATCCAAGAGTTTTTCATTGTCTTTACTGAAACATTTGTCAGAGTTCAACCACACACTCATAGCAGGGTAGATATCAGGAGAGTAAAACCCATGTGTTCGTGCGACATGTCATTTAAAAGAAGGTGCTGCCCTCTGGTGTCTCACTTACAAAAAAAAAAAAGAAAAGGCAGATTCTCAAACTCCAACAAACACATAACTATTCCTGATAAAAAGAAAATATATAACAATCAAGGATTATTGTGTTAAAGTTTCAGCACTTGCCTCAATGGGATGTATATTCACGTCAAAGCACAGGAAATCTATACCGAACCGTTTCAGTCAAACAGGAAGTGCACTGCATATCTCTGTACAGATCGTTAGTTTGGTGTAAAAGGATACTGCAGAGAGGAAGGCCTAGAAAATGCTTTACACAGCAAGAAGAATCTGACCATGCAAAGCATTTTAATCCACTTATTAGACTGCAGCTCTCATGCATTTTTAAAAGTAATGGATGTGTTTAGCTACACAGTCTTACATCACAAAGTGAAGGCTTGATGAATCATAATTCATATATTCTACATAAAGGCACCAGGCAGGATATATTCTACATGGCACCGTTTTTTGTTTTTTGTTATAGCCACATGCTTCGCTGAATTTTTACTCCTTGTTTCCAGGTGTGTCGTGAATATCAGAGGGGCAACTGCTCTCGCGGGGAGACTGACTGTCGCTTTTCCCACCCCGCAGACAGCACCATGATCGACACCAACGACAACACCGTCACCGTGTGCATGGACTACATCAAGGGTCGGTGCTCTCGGGAAAAGTGCAAGTACTTTCACCCACCGGCTCATCTGCAGGCCAAGATAAAGGCTGCCCAGCACCAGGTGAACCAGGCCACAGCCGCCGCGGCAATGGTGAGCAGTCTGTACAAGCGTGGACACACACATTCACACAGCAGGCTGAAAGGAGCTTTAAAGTTATTGCTTTTTATATTAGGGCTATTTATTAAAAGTTCAAACTCCCTGGAGGAAATACTTTTCTGTGGCTCATACTTCCATGTTGGTATTATTTAGTTCTGCTTTTGCCAGGTCAAAAATGTCCTTAACTTGGTGTGGGTAAAATCTGCTTTGGACAGCATGATATGAAGAAGGATGGAACAATGGTACGTTATTCTCAATTAGTTATTTATTTTCCTAACCAGAAAAAAAAAAAAGGGTCCTTCTTCATCTCATCCTGGAACACGAGCCGGTCAGTTCCTCTCTCTCTGATGGTCGTATATGTGACTCCATTGTTTCTGTACTTCCTACAGTATCACTTCTCTTCCTCCATTTTTTTGAAAAGGGTTCATTGTGCTTTCTCACAGTAACAGCACCTGGCTCACTTCTGTCGATCAGTGATTTACTCATGCTCTTATTAATATAGTGTGAGGCAGAGAGCATTGAGCTAATGGTTGTCATGTGAAATTGACTACGATGGGTCCAGTTAAACAGAAACCATGTGGATTTTACTTTATAGTCTGATCAATACAAGCCACGAAAAGAAATATGAGAATAAGATTCTCATCGCTATATTCATCCATCTTTGTGTGACAGTAACTAATGTAGTTTGGTAGTTATCATTGATTATTGACGATGATTTAACTATAGAGCAGTAGGGCTAGTTTCCAAACTGTGCATGCCTTAGTCCTGTTATCCCCTTGTATATTGCATTCCAATGATTTGTTTTTTTATTTGTTTTTGTTTTTTCTCACCTATACCCAAACTGCACTGCTGCCCCCATGATGCACCTCTGCTTGCTGGTTTATGTTAATGCGCTTGAACCCCATTGGCCATTGCCATCATGTGCTCGCTGCCTGCTAATTAAGACTCAGTCGGCTGTCAAATCACTGAAGCGACCCCTCGACGCAACCTTTGACCTGGTACTATGACCTTTCACCTTTTAGCTTGGCATGTGGCTTTGTTGTAGAGCAGTGTTTTAACCAAAGATACCTAGCTATTTTTGTCGTCGTTGTCTCCGTGCAATGTCTGTTTTTTCCTCCTGCTGATCTGTCATTATTGCCTGTGATAAAATGATTGTGGCTTTTGTGGATCCGACCCCAAACAACTAGCTTCTTGTAGAAATGACTTGAAATACAAATTAAATGTATAATTAGGAGCCACAATCAGTTCATCACATGTAGCCTATTTAACCAAAGTCAGCGAGGGCTAGGGAAGTAGAGCTTCTATAACGGTTGCATGGCTTCAGTCTTACGTCCAGAGTCAGTGTTGTGGAGCAGCTCAATCAAATGTGTGCATGTCTGTGTTGCTAGTGCATGTCAGATGGATAAGGGTGGGGCTAAGAGAAACAGTCTTTACAAACCACCATAACAAATGATGACAGTTCAAATGATAGTTCACTCCATCATCAAATCTTGTCACAGATATTCAGACCTCAAAGATGGCCTCATGCCGAGACCAAATCCACCTTCAGAGCGTTTTATGTTGAAAACTTTCACAATCACAAAAAACTTCTTTTTCATCTGACTTATGTCCCTTGGCTTGAGACCATTTTTGACATTGGTCTGAGAGTGAACCATCACTTAAACATGGCTTACACAGTTTATCATGGAGCTAGCAGTGCAGCCTCCCTCTCTCTGTGCTTCCTACCTGTTCCACCTCCTTATTGTTTTAATAGTTAATGCTTGCTCATGTTGCATTTAGTCAAATCTAGGAAAACAAAGTTAACAATCAAAATGAAGCTTCCTGATGAAATGTAATGAATATATGAATGCTTGTTAGCCAGTAGCTCCAGTAGGCACCATGCTCCTGCTTGTGTAGTAATCGTGTCAGACTGCTGCTTGCTTGCTACTGATGATATGACGATATTGTTGTTGTTGTTGTTGTTGTATCGTTGTTGTACACAAAAGGATGTTGTCATGCTGTTTTCACGATGTCGTCTAACGTATGTACCTTTTTTGTTTTCTTTCCCGTTTTTGCCTCTTTCCAACACATCCTTTCTCTCTTTTCCACGCAACTCTCTCTCTTTCTATCTCTTTTTTTTTTATTTTATTTTATTTTCTGACTGTCCTCCCTCCCTCTGGCTGGGCAGGGCATCGCTCCTAGTATCATGGCTCCCATGCCCAAGCGGGCAGCCCTGGAGAAGGCCAACGGGGCCTCTGCCATGTTTAACACCAGCATGCTCCAGTACCAACAGGCCCTGGCCAGCATGCAGTATCAGCAGCAGGCTGCTTTCCTCCCATCAGGTACGGCTCCCAAAGACACCTCCACCTAGTGCTCCGAGCACCCAGGAGACGCCTGGATCCGTCTAACCGGCTCCTGCTTGTCTGGAGTTGGGCAAAGTTGTAGAATGCAGGGCAGAGCAGTTTGGTTGTGGATTATTTATCAACTTTTGTTGTCTTCTGATAGAGGGAAGTTACAAAGATAGTCAAACATATTACATAACATAAAAGCTCTAAATCACGGGCTCTAAATCAAACAGGTGGTTTGTGATCCTTAGTGTGTCGTCAATGTTACTGCAGGAGGGATCATTTGATGTTTTGTTGGTTAATTGTACTATTAGTTACTTAAGATGTCTAAAAATACATGTTAGTTTCATGAATCCGACATATTATGAGCAAATATAAATAGGCCAATTTAAAAAAAAAAAAAAAAAAAAAAAATGTCATTCACACAACATTGATGATAGTCTGGTTGCTACCCATGAACCCCACTTGGGCTGGCTAACCTGTGCAGTTAACCAGTTAGCTAAGGGTACAAACTATTATTAAATACCATGTAAGAAATACCATAACATTAGACATGCTACTTAAAGCCACCACACATTATTGCAGGCCCAGTTTAATAAGCAACTGGATTTAGATATGTAGGGGGGGGTCCTAATTGTTTCTCTCTTGAGGCTGAGACCTAAAAAACGTTGAAGACCCCTGCTCTAGATTTCATTATAGGCCAGAGAGGGTCAGTGCTTTAAGATATCTGTGCATTATGCTTTGTATGGCAGTGCATGGCCACTAGATGTTAAGAATGTGTTAGAAAATGTCTACTAATTACTTTAATCAAACTTCACTTAGCTACCTGCTCCTCCTAGTACATGCAGGATAAGAGAGGAAAGCATGGATGTTTGAACAAGAAATGATAGAACTGAGTTACTTGTGTGTTAGATGAAAGTGTGTATTTTGATGAGAAACGTTGCTTTGGCTGCAGCTGGGAAGAGCGGGTTTAGGACGGGTTGGTTAATGGCAACTAGCAGGGACTGGCTTCTGTACACGTCTGCTGTTCTCCTCACTTCTGTCTCGAGTGTGTATATAATGTTTAATACGTAATGGTTACTATGATAACCGCACTATCAATCTTGTTGCATTACACATTAATATGCAATGCACTTCAGACAAAAGTGTAGATCCTCACCCTTATTTGATTAACAGATATGATGAGTTCGCAAATTTGCCTTTTCCAATCACTGATGACTGTGTCCAGGAGATATTAACCTTTGTTCCCACCTTTTCTCTCCCCCTCACTCTAACGAACCTTGTGATGGGCTGTTTTGATTTCTCTTCCCCTATCCAATCCACTTCCTGTTGCACTGCATGATGGGCAGGCTCAATATTCTGCATGGCACCTACAGCCAGCGTTGGTAGGTTCCAGCTTTCCTTCTTCAGTTGTCTGTAACCTCATGTCTGTGACTCGCACGTCATCAAAAATTAACCACCCTGAAAATGTTCTATCATGTGATTATAGATGAGTGATTTTTATATGAGATTTGGTGACCTGTGAGTGACTGTTTTGGTTGCATTTTTGTGATTTGAAGGATAATTAAGAGTCCAAATAAGCATAGGCATATCGTTTTTTAAATGTTTCTGATTATTTGTGTGGCAGCTATTCTTTTTTCAAATCAATTTAAATCACCTTTTTATTCATTTCTTTGTGTGCACACCTACTACACATTGCATTACCACTCTTGTTTTCATTCTCACTCTAAACTTGGCTTTTGGCTGGTCTAACCTGACATCTAATGAAACATGATTGAAAAATATATTATTTTAAAACAAACAAAAAAAGAGGGGGTTCTGTTGTAACCTTCCCCTTATCCCCTCTGCCTTTATTGGTAACATAACTCTTGTTTACGTTTTTGTAGAACTTTTTAAAGCGCACTCTTCTGGTGTTTACCACCAAAGTACAGTATTGGTTGTTTAATAATACACACACACAAGTGGAAGTTTGTCACTGTGTTTGCTGCAGCTACTCTGTGTCACGTCAAATCACAAGACCTCTTACTGTATCAGTGTTGGCAGAGGGAAGAAAGGGAACCAGTTATATCAAATCTCTCTCTGACTCCCCCTCCTCCTTCCCTTATTTGTGTGGTGTGTATGTGGCTACACTGCTCCTCTGTGTATTTATGCTTACCTGATTTTCCCTCCAAAAAAGTTCCCATGATGCATGGTGGTTCTCCAGGCTCTGCAGCCACCGCATCTGCCACAAGCCCCTTCCAAACTGCCTCCAATCAGGTTTGCACCTCTACAGTCTCTCTCTCTCTCTCTCTCTCTCTCTCTCTCTCTCTCTCTCTCTCTCTCTCTCTCTCTCTCTCTCTCTCTCTCTCTCTCTCTCTCTCTCTCTCTCTCTCTCTCTCTCTCTCACACACACTCATCTCTTTCCTTTATTGTACATGGATGATCTGGGGATGCTTGTGTCTAATAGTGAGGGGTGGGTTGGGTAACGGGCAGTACTCCCTCTTGTTGGCCTACACTAGAGTCCAACATGTGAACACATATCATACTGTGACAAGTTTGAACTCTAACCACAATAATCAATATGTTTTTTTAAGTTTCTTAGATCTATCTGTCTTTCTGGTAAAACATACTGTATTGTATATAATGTTTGTTCCCATGTAACCTCGATTTTTGTCCTTTCCCATTTTGAGGACACTTCCTTATCAAAGTTGACTACCAACGAATACATGCAATTGGTATGTATGAGGTCGTTTTTTCAAAAATGTTAGAGCCATTCCCACAGCTTGTGCATAAGTCGCTTTCTGTGCCCTTTGGTGCTTGGCTTTTTTCTCTTCTCTCCCCCCCCCGCTGCTTCCAGCTTGTAAAGTAAAGCTTTACCATTTTCCCTGTTTTTAAAAGCTGGGCATATCCATTATTAAAGTCAGAAAAGTTCTAAAAACAGTAACTGTAAGAAGAATCTGCTTTCAGTTCTGTTGAAGGCATTTTGTAAGCAGTTAGGTATTGCACAACTTCAAAATGGCAGAAAAACACTTTGTAGGATGAATCATCATGTAACCAGTTTGAACAAGGATCCTATTTCTGCATTTTACTGAGGCGTGCAGGTCAACAACATGGAGGACTTATATCTGCATGGGGTAGCCACCTCACTGCCAGTTTCCCTCTGCACCCCCCCATCTCTCCCTTCCCTCCTGCTCTCCAGTAGTGTGTGTTGATTCTCTTTACATGTCACGACCTAACCTGTAGCCAAATAGCTTTTTCTATTGTTCTCATCTGCGTCCCTTTTCAGTAAGGAACTCGTCTTAATGCGAGAGGATGTGGTTAAAATGTATTGTTTGTGTTGTCGGTCAGCGTCTGCTTTGAGTGTTTTTGGTTTGGAATGTATTTATAAGATTGCTGTCTGTTCTCTACCCCCAGATTCCAATAATATCTGCAGATCATCTGAATAGTCACAAGTACTTGACTCAAATGTAGTTCCTCTCAAGAACAGTGAGTTCCTATTTCAATCCTCATATTCTTTCTGCTCATGCACATGTATAGCTTTCTGTCTAATTCAGTCCTAAAACGTAAAGACCTTTTTTGAAGCATAATCTGTCATGTCTTACAGATCAAATGAATGTGTGCTGGCACCGTCCAAGCCAAAAGAGTTCAGCCTATATGTACATAACCTTCAGAATGTCAAGCAATGGGACGAGGAGGGTCTGCCATCTCTTAGCCGGTCCACGACGATGGTCTCATCACACTTGTAAACATCAAAGGTGCAACACATGATCTGTGCCATCTTCCCACATATCAATCTCAAGAAGAATTTGATATCAAATTCAACGTCCAGCCAAAAGAAGGGGATTTCTTGGTGCCGGGTCAGTGTGTGTCCCTCTGTGGGAAGCGTTCACATTACACCTCTGTGTCTGACTAAATCATAGCACTCAATCTGTTCTAATTGGTATCATTAACACACACGCAGAAGGTCAAGAGCGGGGTTGTATAAAAGCAACATCCAGTGCTGGTACGTTAGTAGACCAAGATTATTTTTTATTTGTTCTGCTTTATATATATTTTTTAAATTGATAGCCATATTTCATAGTTTACAAGTGTAACGCAAACATGCAGCTTGAATATGAATTAAAATCTGAAAGGCACAATTATTTGAAGAGGAATTGTATTCTCCAAAAGAATGACGCATGTACAGTATTGTGTTTTTACGGCTACTAGTGAAACTAGATGATGAAATGAGGGTCTTGGACGTATGAATGTTCTGGGTAAACCAACATACCTGTGTACCTTGAAAGCACAGCCAGGCTTTTTCTCACCTTGACATGTGCCATCAAGGCCATACAGCTAAAAACCAGAGTGTTATCTCAGCAGTGTTATTTGTTTACCGATGGTAAACTTTTTTTTGTATGGTTCTTTTTGTATTGTTTGGTTTCAGAATCTCCGTTGCGAGTTTTTTTTACGTTCAATGTCAATGATTAATTCATTTAGAAGTGGGGTTCTCGCCAAATTTGTGTTTCTTTTTTTGACGTTTCTATCTTTTAAAATCAAAAATGGAGGGTTTTTTGTCATGCCTCTTTTCATAGACTAGTGATGGTTTTTATTTGTTGGGATTAAGTTGTGTAAGTCCATTGACTCTAAAGCCTGGTTCAGAAGAGGGTGTAGCTTTAATTGACATTGTGTTACCTTGTTCTGCCTCTTTGAAAGAGGAGCGACTCTAAAACTGTGCCTCAAAGAAGCACCGTTGAGCCATGTATTGATGAGAAATTACAACATCAGACCCAAAGGTCTATTAGGTCATTTAAACCACATGTGCACTTGAATGATTGTTTGTCTGGTCACCCTGTTTTGATTTCACAACTCATCCGAAGTGAAGTTTCGCTTTTGAGGAAACGTTTCCAAGTAAAAAATGGAAGTTCTTACTCACTTGTAGATCTGACTACAGAAACCAAAGCACAGTTTTTCTCTCAATCATACTCATCGAGACTTACAGAAGCATCTCTCACGAGGCTTAAGAAAACATGTTTATCATCTGTCAATTGTATGATCACATCCCTTTTTGTTTTCAGAGAGGTGTTTAGTGTGTCTTTACCGATTGTAATTTACCTAACAAAGCCTTAGATTACAATTAATGGGTCCGAGCCCAATCAAATGTACTTTCAATCACCATGCAGGTAAAGAACACCAATGATGTTTTATAGATGTCTCACGTGCCGCTTATGATCTCCTTCTTTCTTTTGGTTCTTTCTCTCTATGTAAAAGTAACAATTACTCTCTTAAATTTCATTGAACTTCTGTGTTATGTACTACTTAAGGATTTGAATCTATTTGAGGTATGTAGTTGTAGATTTTTCTTTTTTTGCCTTACTATATATTACTTGACAACATTGATATAGCCGTTGTAGATTTTGAGGTAGTATGACATTCATAACTTTTTCAAACCATATAAATGATAATGTGTTTTAAATATTCACTTCATTCATATAGCTGGATGTCTTTTACAGATGATGTTACATTATCAGTTAATTTTGTTGATGAAAGACTTTTGATACAAGGAATGAGATCATTTAATTTGCTGCCACTGGCAGAGAAAAAAAAACTAATGTTTTAACCAACTTAGATTTTCCTTGTCACATGTCAAGATCACGTTTGAAAATATATTGTATTGAAATATAGATTGTCCATGTTTTAGAGTAAAAATTATTTTCTACTGTATCCATTTCAAAAAGATATGTACTTTTGTTTGAATATTTCTTAAGTTTGCCCTGAATGTCAGGCCAAAACGAGCAGTGAGATTGACGGGTCTTTGGATGTTGTGGATAGTGAGATTAGGAGAGAGAAGACTTCTCCAGACTGGAGAGGTCCGAAATGCTGCAGATGATGAGTTCTAACCTAAGGGACGAAGGTTGACTTTTTGCACTTCTGTATATAGTCAAATGAACAGAGAAAAAAATGTGTATCATATTGAGATATTATTTTGAATAAAAAAGATCTATAATTATAAGGAATTTTGTTAGATTAATTTAAATTCTTAAATTAGAAGACCAGCTAAAAAAAACTTGCTTGCAAAGAACGGCACTAGTTTCTTGGCCAATGCATTCAGAGAAAGCTATGCGCTTTTTGTCTTATTTTATCAATAGTATTGCAAGGGAATGTCGAAGGGGAATAAATCCCCATGTCATGCTTACTCCACCCTTCTTGTGGGATGACATATCCAATAATATCCATATCATTTGTTAGACTTGGTCGCGCAGTATTGCTGCTCCCATGGTACAGTTAAAACATACAACTCAAATGTGTTTGTATTTTCGTTTGATTTGACTGCATGTAAAAGTACAAACATGTAAACAAAATAAAATGCATAGTTATGTAAAGCAAGATAACACATTCAGATTACAGAATACACAGTAATATGTATTTTAATCAAATATACAAACAGTAGATAACAGCAGGGAGAAATAAAACTTAAAAAACAAGTCATCTTACTCTTGTGTGTTAAAAATATTTTCCGAGCAAACACGTTATTTAAAGAATTATCAAATATTAGCACTCATCCACCCGGGTACTTTCTTATAGCCATATAATTACAGTCCACACTGACTCACAGGAAGTTGTTCGTGCCATCATAGCTGTGCACTCAGCAGGCGAAGGCTCACTATACCAAACGCGTATTTGGCAAATTAGTCTTTGAAATGAATGTAACAGTCACCTGGTCAACATGTTTCTGACCCGAGGCTGCTGTGTTTAGTTGCTACAGAACCAAAGCACCATTTTCTCCAAACCAGATGTTCAGTCTCCTGGCTGGAGCCATGGTTTATCTTCCCTGCTGGGGGCACATGTACGCTTTGACTGCTTTTTACTTGTAAATGCAACCACCGATTATGTATTTGCTAACAGTTTCCTCACAATAATGTACTATTCTGCCTTCAGATTTGTTTATGCACATTTTATTGTTGCCATAATTGACTCTGAATTTGAAATCTGAATAAAACAATATTTGATTTGCTCATGCAACAGGTGTGTGGTCACTGCCTCTGTGTGTGCTGGATGTGTGGGGTAGTGGGTATTTTAGTAAATGCAGATATTCTCAGTCAACCTTTTATTAATAAACATGTTAAAGAATACCATGTTGCTATAATGTACAGATTATCTGTCTTGCAGGTCAACCTTCAAGTATTGATTTCCCATTGAATTTTGCTTAATTCATATATGAAGGGCACAATCTAGGATAGGTTGTTCTATATTCTTTCTGAACTTAAACCTTGAGGATTCAAAGTCAGCAAGACTGGAGCAGCTCCACAGAGAATGATATAATTATTAATTTAATTGATCGGCTAAGGGCATTATGTGCTTCATCTGGGTCAAAAGTGATAATAAAAAAAAGATAGATCAAGCACAGATGAACTCGCAACATGCCTTCCATTGCACTGTGTATGAATATTTCACATAACATCTGGATCCTGAATTCATCCTACCATCGTTTGGAGAGTGTTTTCCATTTAGAAGGCATGGGTGTTATGTTAGCCAGTCTGGAATCCAGATATGAACGAAGATATTCTCTTCCCGCAAAACACAACCTGCTTCCATTCGCAAATTGTTTGAGATAAAGTTAAAACACAAAGACATCATATGTTCTCTTCAGAAACAGGGTACTTCCAGGCTGTATTTGTTATCATTATGCTGCGACACCATGGTGACTTTTTGGATGTCTATAGATGATCTGATGGGATTATAAAAACAGATCAAGATCAATAAATAATAGAAACCTCATGGTTCCTGTTGTGTAAAACTTCATTTAGATGCTATTCAGAAAACAAAATAATAATATTCTGTGATCATGTAAACTTCCTTATATCATTTGATGGGGACACAAAGATAGGATAAGATGTACTTTATTGATCCCAATTTGGGAAATGTTTGCGTTGCAGCAGCATAAAAGACAAGGCTTTGCACATAAGATAAATTAAAAGAGTAGAAATAAACAATTCTAAAATGTAAACATTTCAAAATAGAAATAAAACAGCATTAAAAAAAAGTATAACAAATATATAGTTGAAATACCAACAACAATATAAAGCAGGATATGTTACATATACACAACAGTGACATAGCATCACTAAACAACATCATACAATCTCCTCAATACAAAGAAAATGTGGTAACAATATATAATGTGAATTTAATTGTAAGGCCTGAAATTGATGCATTGTCATAGGTAAACGTATAATAATAATAATAATAATAAAATAAATAAAAATGTGCTTAATCTGAACATCAATGTCGACAGCAACATGCAGGGTCCTCTTTTTTCTGCATTATAAATACAATGTTGATAAGTAAGCTGACATATGTAAATAAATGACCTCATTAGCATGCATGCTTAACATGATTAAAGTGACAGTGGGCATCTGAAGAGCCTCTGGTCGACATGTATGAGGGCAGAGGTCATGCAGAGAGGCCACAGACATGCACGCGCCTGCAGGATCTGTCTGGTCATCTGACCAATCTCTGACTGAGATTTCGGGTGACGGCTCCTTTAAGAAAACGGAACTGTGCCTAGGCTTTTGACGCGCTGAGGATGTGGGCAGGAAACGCCATGCAAGAGGAGAGAAGCGATCACGCTTCCCAACGCCGTTGCACAATACAGGGCGATCAAAAATAATGTGCTTTAATTTTCCACGCTAATGTCCAGGAGCGGTGATTCTCCTCGGATCTGCAGTCCGTCACCCAGCAGGCTCGGAGGATTTGCCGGCGTGGGATTTGACTCCTATCCGAGCGAGAGGGCAGCCTTCCCAGCCTGCTCGCTTTGAAAACATCGGGGCTGGTCAGCGGGTGGGAGAGACAGAGCAGGCTTCGTCGCGGAAAAAAGGAGGTGTCTGCCTATTTTTTTTCACCCCCCAGCCATGAGGGAGTACAAAGTGGTTGTTTTGGGCTCGGGTGGAGTCGGGAAATCCGCGCTGACTGTCCAGTTCGTGACGGGCTCCTTCATCGAGAAGTACGACCCGACGATAGAGGATTTCTACCGGAAGGAGATCGAGGTGGACTCGTCCCCGTCCGTGCTGGAGATCCTGGACACGGCGGGGACCGAGCAGTTCGCCTCCATGCGAGACCTGTACATCAAGAACGGCCAGGGCTTTATTTTGGTTTACAGCCTGGTGAACCAGCAGAGCTTCCAGGACATCAAGCCGATGAGAGACCAGATCATCCGGGTGAAGAGATACGAGAGGGTGCCTATGATCCTGGTGGGAAACAAGGTGGACCTGGAAGGGGAAAGAGAGGTGTCTTCCGGGGAAGGAAAGGCGCTGGCCCAGGAATGGAGCTGCCCTTTTATTGAAACTTCAGCCAAAAATAAAGGCTCGGTCGACGAACTATTTGCAGAAATAGTCAGACAGATGAACTATTCAACTGTTCCCAGTGGTGGCAACCAGTGTTGTTCATGTGTCCTGCTCTAAAAAACATGAAAAACATCCAGAAAAACATCCGGGCTGAAATTTAGCTTCTTACTTGTCCTGCGGGCTTTCCCCCCCCCCAAGCCTATTCATTCTCTCTTCACACTGTTGTCTTATTGTTGCACACAAACACAAATCAACGAAGACAACAATCGATTATGTATTATAGTCTAGAAAAAGTGTTTACATGACAAAGTACTTGAATGTTTTTGGATTTTTTAAATAGCTTTGTATATGACACTCCTCTGGAAATGTGCCTCAATGGGAATGTCTTATTGTGAAACCTAAGAGACAGCTCTTTTCTGGTTATTTTTTGGTGGTTTTATTTGTTGAGTTGTACTGTTACATTACATCTTCTGGGCTGGGTCCATATTTCTTGGGTGGTGGTGGGGTCATGCTAAATCCAGACAGAGCTGGGATTGGCTACTTTTAATGTCTTTTTGTGGGAAATGACACAGCAGGAGGCCTGAAAGCACTTAAAATCGCCAATAAACGTAACAATCACCATTCAAGCCTTTCCCAGGTTACTCAAATCAGATCTCTACAATTTATTTCCCCTAAAGGTCAAGTGGGATCCAAGAGACGCAGATTCCTCCCACTAACATATGTTATCTGAAGCTGTGGACTGTGATGGAGTTGTGTTAGGAGCTTTTGTTTTTATCCCCCCTCTCCGGGCTGGCGAAAGTGGATTTATCATGGAACCTGCACTTTGCTGACGTTGTCCCACCTCAGTGTGCACAAAGAAGGACCTTAGTGCATTGCTGTCGCTGCATGGGGAACCCCATGTCAAGTGCCTTCCTAAGAAAACTCCTGTGACTGTGCCAACTGATGAGCCCTACTTCCTCTGCAGTGCGTCTTGATGGCAATCAGAACTTTTAACAGTTTTCAGTGAACAATCTAGTTTCATTTGGTGTCAAAGTGAGAATAGCCTACTCCTATTTTACTATCAGGAAGCTAAGCTTGTATCAGACCTGCTGTTTCAGGGTCAGATTCAGGCCGTTTCTCGAGGTACTAGTCCAACAAGAACAACAAAGTAACTTTAACCTACTAGGATTATGGTTCAGTGAATGGCAAGCCATGTCTGTATTATCTAGATTTCTTTTTCTTTTCTAAAAACAATATGACATTTTTAAATGTACCGTAATTGTAATTCTCTTTTTGGACAAAATCTTCTGCCATCCACCTGTCAGTTTGAAAGACTTAATACAAAAGCATTTTACGTAACGCTGTGTGCTGTGTTTGTCTCTGCTGATAACATAAAGTTTCTACATTTTGGGCTACCTTTGAATGTGATTGTCCCTGTAAACGATATTAGTGCCGAAAGAAATAATATGTTGACAGAAAGACAATTAATTGACAATGTATTAGTAGTTCAAGTAATATATGAAGAGAAAGCTTGAATCACAATGTAATTCAAGCTTCAGCAATGTGAGGAGTCGCTGCAGTTTTTCTATGCTACAAATTTGGTTTTACATCAAATATGTCATATATAGACAGCTTGGGCTCTTGGGACTCGTAATACTACAATTCCTAAACTTTTGGGCATCTTGGAAGGAAATAAATTAGTTAATTATCATAAACGGATGCATTGACAATGAACATTATTAGTTGCAGGCAGCCTTTTCCATTGGCTTTTAGATACTAAATGGAGCTCTGAATGCCATATTTGACGCTTGTTTACAAAAGTCCTGGCTTCAAATGTTTACTACTATGAGGATGAATTGCCTACAAAACCTTGTTAGTGTTATACGTTATCGTGGCGCGAATAAGAAACTTCTCAGTCAAGTTGTTTGGGTAGTGGGTAGGGTTTCTAGTAAGTGTGTTTTGCTATGGAGAGCTGTCTCCCCCCTTCCCTGCCGCCTGTTTTCTTGGCTCTGGAGCTGTGGACAGAGAGGACTTTCTGTGTCTAAGTTTAATCAGCCATGCATACTGTAGACCACTATTTGTTAAGCCGTTCCTCACACCGGCCAATGGGCTGCTGCCTCATGTGTCCCTCTAACCGCGGAGATTCAAGGTCAGATTACCAAAGCACATGCTCACACTATTCAGGTCCGACCTGAAGAAAGGGTCCCTTCAATGACTCTAGCAATGCTTACTTTGTTTTCACAATGATCGTCTCCAGTCACTGCAACTGTCACTGCCTGGTTATCCAAGCTACAACTCTAAAGCAAAATCACGTTGCACTAAATCAGAGCTCAGCTGGAATCTACTGTCATGGACTGCACATTTATATACAATATATTCCATCTTAATGATCATTGGTGAAGGAACAGGTGGCCTTCATTTCTTTATCTTGAAAAATGTATTTCTTAGAACATTAATGGAGTTTTTCATGCACAAAACAGCAGGAGATGAACATACAGTACAGCAACGCTGACTGCACGGCAACATGAGTCACAAAAAGCTCATAATGTTTATTATTATTATGAGACATTCGCCTTTCATTTAAAAAGAAAAGCAGAAAAACAGAAGCGATCCTGTAATATTTAAGGGAATCATTTCTTAAGAAAAGCACAAAATAAGGTGTATGATAGAGGTGTCAAACTAATTAAGCTGGTTGCTAAGCTACAGATTCTGTATTCTTGCAAGCAGCTAAATGTGTCCACTTTGATGCACAGGTGTAAAATACTCCTCAATGAATAGAAAATATTGTCACTGCCTATCAGTAGAAAAAGTACATTATGTACACATTGAGGTAGATGTATTTCTAATAAGTATTTATTTTTATGCTACTCTATATTTCTACTCCACTACATTCAAAATACTTTATTTTTTACTACATTCATTGGACAGCTGCAAATGAAAGTCACATTTATTTACAAAGCACTTTAGTGGTTTTAATGTATGGTTATAAGTTCACTGGAATCTGTTAAACAGTAAATGCAACATTGATCAGTATTGATGTCACATGTTCAAAGTCAGATACAAAAAAGATATTCTGGTGGAGTGTTGTTGTCTTTTAGCAGGACAACATTTGAAAAGAAAACAGGGTTGTAGTCAATTTACCTTAAATGTTATACTCGTGCAAACTATGCGATAGTAAAGTGCTGTTTAACTCAAAGTTGTTGAAACCTGTATAGTAAATATGACCGGGCCTTTCTTCTGTAACTGTATAAAAATGATATAAATAATTATGCATAGTGTTACCCATTTTCAAACTGCTTCTACGCCTTCAGAGCTGCCTAAAATCTGACACCATCTTACTGCAAAATTACACAAACGCTACTGTTCATCCTGAATTTCACAATCATCCTGGCATAGTAAAACATGTGCAATAGATGTCAAATATAATACATTTTTACGTCAGCTTATTTTATGTAACATACAACCTGTTTACTTACAGTAGGCCTCTATTGACATTAGCATGTTGATGCATGCATGCAACACAGCTTACTGACACATTGGGCATCTTTAGTGTGTGGAGGAAAGGAAGGGTGGACGATATAGTGCTTCCTGTGTTGTGGTAACTTCACCTCAGATCTATGAAATGTTGCAACAGATACGCAGTTCCTCTTTAAAATGTAGAAATAAATGTTCTGCATTGTCACAGTCCTTCTGCCGGTGCCCATAACACAAGACGTGACCCCAGACCAGAAATGCCCTGAGAAGTATGTCCTTGGATCTAAACTCTTTGATAAAAAAATGAAGGAGGGACACGTTGGGGAACGGAAGAATCGATTTCACATGTGAGGCTGGGGTGCATCCAATGGCTCCATGTGATTTGATTTGAGCAAAGAAGCCAGCAGGATCATATGACACTGGCTGTTCTTCTATGAGCTGTTTGGACGCAAATCCAGAGACAGAAATTGTCACATTCAGACAAATTCCCCTCAAAATAATGCCATACAGTATGTCACTGCTGGAACTTCTCCCTCATAAACACCTTCTCTCATGTAGACTATTGAAGAGCTTTTGTGTCTTACTTGTTAACCACATGAACTCAGACCTATATGTGACAGCTGACAATGCACACACTCAGTCTGACCCCAGCAGCAAGAATGTGAAGAAATGTGGAAGTAAGTCTTTCATTGTGTGCTGTACATAGAGCTTGACTGAGGTTTTAGTTAAATAGTCTGTAACTGCTGACGAAGCCGTAAAGGAAAAAAGCTTGCTTCTTCACAAGAAATAACTCTTTAGATGGCATGCTGCTATCATGATAAGCTTACAATGACACCATTACCACTTCTTATAGTTTTCACTCAATATGCTTTCGCTGGTTAACACATTTTACCCCACCTGTCTGTCAACTTCAATGAAATGGACTTGCTCACTTTCTTTTAGAATTTATATTAAAAAATATACCAATCGCCAGTGGGGTAATGTAACTAAGTAGATTAACTTAAGTACTGTACGTAAGTACAATTTTGAGGTACTTGTACTTTACTTGACTATTTCAATGTTATGCTACTTTGTACTTCTACTCCACTGCAATTCAGAGGTAAATAGTGTACTTTTCCTCCACTACTTGTATTATGTCCTTTAATTGCTTTAAAGATTTGGATTAATAATGTGAAATATAAACACACTTAAAAAGACTTTAGTTTCACCTGGAGTAAATTCACAAGCTACCCTGCTTTGCCAGCTTTGATAAACACATTAATGCATCAATAAGTATAATCAAAACATATAATATATATCATTCTGAAATGGACCAATCTGCATAATAAGTACTTTAATATTTGTTATGCTAATACTTTTGTACTTTAACTTGAGTAACATTTTGAATGCAGGACTTTTACTTGTGTATTATTCCTACACTCTGGTACTTTTACTCAAGTACAAGATCTAAGTACTTCTTCCACCTCTGCCAAAGTGTGTACTTTAAAGCTCAAAAGTGTACTTATTCTCTTACTTGCTGAGAGTGATAGATAACAAGATCGATACCACCTATGCATGTTTCGACACATATAAAGCATTAGTGAGCAGCAGGCTAGCTTAGCATAAAGAATGTGACAGAGGGAAAAAGCTATCGCCTAGATCTGTGAAAAGATAAATAAAAACTGCTTTCCTAAAGCTCAACTATTAGTCGGATTTAACTCCTTAGGTTAATTTGTACCTTGGAAGTTAGGAGCTGTAGTAATTTATTGTATTTATTTCAGGTTTTCAAAGTTTGGGACAAAGATTTAGGCTAACTGTTGTACCCCTTTTTCGGGTTTTTACAGGCACAGTTCAAAATCAAATGTTCATATTTTTCTTCTGTCTCTAACATTTGTCAACTCACTCCAAAATAATGGCACTACAGATAGAAGGAAAATATGTATCTTTGATTTGGTCTTTGATCCTACCAAAGGCAGCAGTAAACCTAGCTCAAATATAATTCAGTTTAAAAGGATGTAGCCTACAGAAAACACTTTCTTGGAAAACTATGAGAATGAAGAAAGGTGATTGAAGATGAGAAATTATTGTAAATGTATGTATAAATGTAAATATGCAAGTACGTAGGAATAACTTGCAGAAATGATTTAAAGGATAATCATTGATCAGCAGTAAGTAAGGGGTGGGAATTAATAAGCATTTGCTTCCTCCTGCTCCCTTTCAGACACATAATTATGATTTATGACTATTTTATGTTGAATATATAAATATTATTATGAATATTGATAAATACTGTATTCTAACAATACGGTATTCTGTTTTTCACTTTTTTTAATCTGTTCAAAATAAAGATGGAAATGAAAAATGAAATTGTCAAAAATGTTATGATAACCTCAATTAATAAACATCTTTCAGTTTATTCCAAATTACACTACAGTGTCAAATTGGTAGATAATATGAACTTGACAGAGGAACAAGTTACATTTGAAGTAAGTTAAGTTTAGCATTTTAATTACAATTAAGTCAAATACAAATTAAACAAAATTGCGGTTTAATGCTTTAAATGTGTAGCTTTATTAATAGAAACAGTTTATATAGCAAACATTTACTCAATGAATATACATTTTTCTACGTTTTTAATGTTTCAATGTGCACACTTATAATAGGGATTTCTTTTAACCTATATTTAGTGTTTGATTAAAGTTGTCCCACCACCAAATCAGCTAAGAGAGAAAACTAACAGAGTGGCTGCTAAAGATCCAAATATGTTATCGAGAATTTTTGAAGATCATTCCAGCCTTGCTACCTTCAGGTTATAAAGCAGACCACTACAGAGAGAATAACAGAAAACCATTGAAGGTGCTGTAGGTATTAACATTATCAAAAATCCAGGTGTTCGTCTGGAGTCTCATGTACACCTGGTCTCCCACTTCAAGCTGCAGAGTCATGCCGTTGGCTGCTGTCTGATGGAGGTTTCCAGCTGCTGAGTTGTACACACTAACCATCTTCTCTCCATTCTTCATCAGGCGCAGCCCACTTGGTTTAGATGATACATGATTAGCAGAGAAGCTGAAGTAATAGACTCCTTTGACTGGAGCAGTGAAAATACCTGGGGATGAAAAAGAGAGAAAGTTACTGTTAATCTGTTGTGCATTGAGCCTTAAAGGTCACCTATTATGCAAAATCCACTTTTTCATGTCTTTTATACATAAACATGTGTCCCCTCTGTGTAAAGAGATTGGGAAAGTTTCAGGTAAAAACATTCTCTTGTTGTCCTGATCCATTTATATAAAAACCTGTCTGGAAATGAGCTGATCAGATGTCGGCCACCTGGTGATGTCACAATGTTTCTTTTGGGTTGTGCAACCATTAGCCAATAACCAACCAAGGTAAAAGCCCGCCCACATTATAATTAATAATAATTGACATGTAACAATGAATACCAAGGACACAAAGGCTTATTGTTGACTGCAGACGCGGTCAAGTTTTCAAAATGGTGTTCCCCAACTCCCCTGATCTGAGGATCAACGCACTAGCACACTGCGCCATAGTTGAATCTCCTCCTAGAGCACTATTGTGTTTTATTAAACCAAATATCTCTCAGAGGGGCGTGGGGAGTGGCACCTTATTTTCATCTAAAGTAAAAGACACAGAATCAGCACTTTTGAAACAGGGCTGAAACAGAGGGGATTATGGGATGCAATGCATGATCTGTTCGGTATTTCAAGCCAAACACTTCAGAGACATGTTTTGTATATATCTGAGACCTATAATATATTATTGGAAAAGAGTATAATAGGGGACCGTTAACACACATCATGTTGCTCAGTTTACCTGTTCCAGGCTGGTATGCGCCGCCGATGTTTGTGAAGACGTTCTTGTAGGTCAGTGTGATTGCAGCGGGGAAAGGTCCAAAATGTGTAGCTAGGCCTGAAGATGCTCCAAATGCCACATCCTGACCATGAAAGGCTACATAAAAACATTTTTGTTTAAAAAGTGTCATCAAGTTGAAACAATGCAAGCCATAGGCCTACCTAAAATAAATGAAAACATAGTGTCTATTTACTTTATATTCTTACCTTGGACGTCTGCCCTCAGATCCTCTACTTGTTTCTCAGTGTCTTTCAGTTTGGCCTCCAGGTCTCTTAAGATGTCATCATTCTTCTGGCTCTCTATGGTGTGAGGGAAGAGTGAAGAAAAGATCTCACATATTCAGGCACTGAAATAGACTAAATGCTCTGCCTCTCACACTGTACACTGTGTGGGAGGACACAGCAGACACCCAGAGGTGCTCTCAGTCCCCCCACATTCATCCACTGTATTATCTCCATTTAGCTAGATGCGCTTAGGCCAATGAATTCAATATGTGTGCATCCACTTTGTGATTATTTCTATAAGGCTGGGTATTTATATTCTAGGTGAAAGAAATGACTAACTTAATAAGACTTTACGTTGATCAGGCCTTAATGCTGATGTCAAACTGAAATGTTTCCTTGGATACTGATGCTGTCTCCTCTCTGTCCTCCAGAAGGCAGGCAAGTACAACTGAGGAAAATAAAAGCTGTACAGTCCTATCAATATGCTTCCATTCATGGAGCCTTTAATAAAGCATTTCAGGATTCTTTAAACTGCAGATCTGTGCTTACATCTACAATAAACCAACCTCCTGTTAAATCCTGTGAACAAGTGTTTTTATAATTGAGACATAAAACAATAAAACATGAATAGTTCCTAGTGTGAAATCAATATATGTTTTGGATTTCGGATTGTAAACATTGGTGCGTCGATTATATATTGATTGTCCCTGATGTTATTTACACTGGTAGAAGATCACATTTACTTAGTACAATGTTGAGGTACTTCCTATTTTATGCAACTTTATGCTTAATTTCTGAGTTAAATATTTTACTTTTTTCCTTTACCTGGTTATTTGACACTTTTAGTTACTTTGCAGATTAAGATGATTGATACAAAATATCAATCAACTAATCAATGATGATGTTTTATAATACATTAAGCTTCCCAGCAGTATTTGGACTAATCAAAATTACTCTACCTTAAACAGCTACAACATTAAAGTGATGAACACTTGAATGCCTCAATAATTATAATCCAACAACATAATATAGATTTCTCTGAAACTGGCTATTCTGCCAAATGTATTCCTATTACTTTTTGTTATTTAATTTTTTATAAAGCTGATTTTATAATTTTACTTCAGTCACAACACATTTTCCGAGGGGTAAATTCACAAGTTAACAAGCCATATATAAAGTTTTATATAAATATATAGATACAATATTATGAAATAGGTTATCCTCCAAAATGAATTCTATAAGTATATTTTGATGCTAATTAATTTACACTTTTACTTATTTGAATTTGAATGCAGGACTTTTACTTGTAACAACGCACTTCTACACTGTAGTTTTAGATTTTGTCTTGTAACATTTTAGTGCAGAAGTGAGAAGATAGTTTTTTGTTCTCATGTGTTTCTTGAAAAAGAGACATCATTGTCAACAAAACCACCTGCTTGCGTATACTTCAACATTACAAGATGTTCTGCAGCATTAGGGTAATGTATTATACGAAATACCAACTACTGTGTTGAAAGATAAACGTGATCATGAATCGTCTAAAAAATAGGTTTGTCTTTTCTTACCGTTCATCTGTGTGTGATCCATCAACTCTTTTTCAGTCTTTGTCAGTCTGGCCTCCATCTCTTCAATTTTGTTGTCAATGTCAATGCTGGATGCCTGGTAGACAGGCAGGTAGAGGAGGCAAAGAGCCAATGCAGCAACCATTGTCTTCATATTTGAGTCTTGGTGGACCTGTACTTAATCAACAATGCTTTATATACCATCCCGAAGAGGAAATGTTCTTGCTCTTGCACAAGTTTACTTCTCCGATGTTCCAGTAAGTCTATCGTGTTCACATAACCTGGCTGCATTCCCTTTTTTAGTCATCATTTACATTTTTCAATAAGGAAACAAAAAAGTAAAAATGCTTCGGACAATCACATGCTGACATAAATACCCCTCTTGCTTTGTTTGGCTTGCCTCACAAACAAGCAGGTTTCTCTGGCTGGAGCCACCAGGAACAGAAACAAAAGCTGTTTTTATGTTTTATGTTTCAGCTGGTTCTCTGTCCTGTTTAATTCCTAATGCTTTCATCACCTCCTGATATGGACTAACACCGTGAGACCCGGCAATCATTTGTCAATTAGACTTGATGAACGCACATGAGGCCCCCATCAGACATGCTGCCATGTATTCAGTGGCTGAAAGTTTCAGTACTGTCGAAAAACTGAAGGTTTGAACATGTAATGAGGCCTTTATGAATGTTTGAGTTGATTGTTGCAGCAAACAGGAAATAATGGAAATGTTCAGCTGTGGTTTTCAGATAAATCATAACATTATTTTTATGATTTCTGGAAGTGGGATTGATGTGTGGCTGGAGTGATAACTTTGATTAAATTAAAGTTAATAACTTATTCCAAGTCCTGTCTTCGGCCAAAGGTGTCTTTGGTTATCTTACCCTTGCTCAAAGGAACAATACATTTGTATTCACAATCTTGTATTGCATCAAAAATAAAAGAATAGCTAAAAATGCAATTGTCAGCTGTTCCCATGAAGACACTTCACTGAATTGTTCCTACTTAATACTTTGCCTCTGCAGCCATGGCCTGATTTAATACATTCCTCGACAAAATACATCTCCACCAGTGAGCCACATGTTGCACCAGGTCTTTTTCTAACAATGATGAATAACTGTTCATTTTGAGTCTATCCCAATGACAAGCCTTTTTACATCTATAAAGCTCAATGATTAACAAATTGTATCTTTGCTTAAGTTGTACTTAAATGTACACATTTTAAGTTTAAGTTATAAAATGACTTGTGTCTTTGAGAAAGTGACAAAACTACATCTTGTACTTGCACTATCTCAGCTTTTTGGGTAACACTTTATATTAAGGTACACAAATTCATCATCAATAGTTGTTAATTAACATGCATATTAGCAGTATATTGGCTCTTTATTAGTCATTATAAAACACTTATTAATGCCTTATTCTGCACGACTTAACTTAAGTGTTTTATAATGACTTGTGTCAAAGAGAAAGTGACAAAACTACATCTTGTACTTGCATTTCAGCTTTTTTGACATTGGACAGATCCATTCTTACCCAATCTTGTCACACGACTGATAACAATTAGTGTGTTTCTCAAAATGTCAACCTAAATATTCAAGAGTTATTAAGTGAAATACAATTTTGGATTTGGCATGTCATATAACAATTATATCAAGATTGAACCTCATATTAAAAAAACAGAAAATGAGAAACAGTTTTGCAACTTTTCTGGCTGGAATCAGAGCATCTTTATTAACAAAACACTTTTTAAAGGCAAATATACATTTTTAATTAATATACATTTTTCTATGTACACATGACATTGGATTCCCCCAACCTGAATCATGGATGAAATGTTTACATTGAGTCAAATTTCCTGAGCTGCTATCATCAGCATTTACAACAATAAAGATAAACCCGCTCTACGCTCTCTGACCAATCAGCTGACAGAGAAACCAACAGCAAGGGAACACAAACAATAGCATCTAGCTGCTACAGACCCAGATGTTTTCTCTGTAATTGTTGAAGACTAGACCAGAGTTAAAATAAAACTTGGACTTATCTTCATCAGATTATATAACGACCACTACAGAGGGAATAGCAAATGGCCAATGAAGGTGCTGTGGCTATTACTATTATCAAAAATCCAGGTGTTCGCTCGGAGTCTCATGTACACCTGGTCTCCCACTTCAAGCTGTAGAGTCATGCCGTTGGTTGCCGTCTCATAGCGGCTTCCAGCTGCATGGTTGTACACAGTAACCATCTGCTCTCCATTCTTCATCAGGCGCAGCCCCATTGGTTTAGATGATATATTATGACCAGAGAAGCTGAAGTAATAGATTCCTTTGACTGGAGCAGTGAAAATACCTGGGGATGAAAAAGAGAGAAAGTTACATCTGTTGTGCTTTGGATTTAATCCATAGCAAAAGAGAGGAATTTACACTATTTACTAAATGAAACTATGTTTGAATTAACACACATCTGCTTGCTAAGTGTACCTGTTCCAGGGTTGTATGCGCCGGTGTTTGTGTAGACCTTCTTGTAGGTCAGTGTGATGTCAGCGTTGAAAGGTCCAACATTTCCAATGTGGTCTAAAGATGCTCCAAATGCCACACGCTGACCTTGAAAGGTGTCATGAAACATTTGGTTTAACTTAACTTACAAAACCTGAAGACAATTTGTAAGCTATTCAAAGACGAAACACAAATGTATAGCTTTGTTACTTTATATTCTTACCTCGGACTTCTCCCCTCAGATCCTCCAATTGCTTCTCAGTGTTTTTCAGTTTGGCCTCCAGTTGTCTTAAGATGACAAAAAATTGGCAGCAATTGTTCTGACTCCATATAATGTCACCTGCACAGTGACGAGCTGACTCAATGTTGGGGGTCCCTGAAGCATTGCTCCCTCCTTCTCGGTCATCCAGCTGCTGCACCTCAGCTGCACTAAGGTAGAACAGGGATAAAATAAACACAGCCACGAAGGTCTCCATCTTTCACTGTCTTCTGCTTGTCTTCTGCTTGTCTTCTGCTTGTCTTGGCTAGCTCTCCCCACTGGTATTTATATACCACACTGTGACGGCCCGAGAGCATGTTACCTGTTGCCGGTTGGTCGGTGTGTGATGGGGGTGGAGCTCAGGAGGCCAATCAGCCTAACCGGGGTCACCTGGCCAGCGCCCCAGGAGGCTACGTAAGCCCAGCTGCCCCGGAGTCACAGCGCCTGATGACTCTCCAGGACGGACGTTGGAGCCTCTCGCCAAGGTCCCCTTCCCCTCGCCCAGCCTGGGTCCTTCCGCACTATAAACATTGTTGGCAGAATCCCACGGCGGTGTCGCCTTTTGAGTTGCATAAATAAATGTGCCGTTGCTTAACGGAAATCCGCGTGCCATGCGTCTCCCTCTCTTCTGTTGTGGCCTGCGAGCCGGTCGTAACACACACAAAGACGGAAATGCCACTTTAATTTACCAGAAAATAAAAAGCGTTTTTCCTATCATCTGATGAATCATAACAAATAAACTGATACTGATACTGTCTTCTGCTTGTCTTCTGCTTGTCTTCTGCTTGTCTTCTGCTTGTCTTCTGCTTGTCTTCTGCTTGGCTAGCTCTATTTATATACCAGACAAAGAAGGAAATGCCCCTTGAATTTACCAGAAAATAAAATACCTTTTTCCCATCATCTGATGAATCATAACAAATAAACTGATATCAAGAATATGATAGAGAGTACCTGGCCAAAGTTGTCTTTGTTTATTACCTTATTTACCTTTGTCAAAATAATCATTGTTTTGTATTTAGCATCTTCTTTTTGCATTAGAGATAAGGAAAGGCTGGCTAGACATTTCTATATTTTTGTATTGTCAGCATTAATCATTAAAACTGTATCCTCAACTAATTGCCTTTGCAACTTGCCTCATTCAAATTCACTGAACACAAATATAAAGGCAACACTTTTGTTTATGCTCCTATTTGTCATGAGCTATCAACACAAAAGGCCTATTTCTTTCAAATGATGTCCACAAATGTGTCTAAATCTGTGTTACTGAGCATTTCTCCTTTGCCAAGATAATCCATCCACCTCACAGGTCACAGGTGTGGCATATCAAGATGCTGATTAGACAGCATGATTATGGCAGAGGTGTGCCTAAGGCCACTCTAAAATGTGCACTTTTATCACACAGCACAATGCCATAACTGTCACAGTGTGCAATTGGCATGCTGACTGCAGGAATGTTCACCAGAGCTGTTACCTGTGAAACCAATGTTCATTTCTCAACCATGAGCTGTCTCCAAAGGCATTTCCGAGAATCTGGCAGTACATCCAACAGGCCTCACAACCCAAGACCAGGACCTCCACATCTTTGCCTGCAAGATCCTTGACCAGCCATCTGGACAGCTGATGCAACAATCAGTTTGCATAACCAAAGAATTTCTTTCCAAACTGTCAGAAACCGTCTCAGGGGAGCTCATCGGCATGCTCGTTGTCTTCACCGGGGTCTTGACCTTACTGCAGTTAGTCTTGGTAACTGACTTGAGTGGGCAAATGCTCACCTTTGATGGCGTCTGTATCCAGGTTTTCACTGTACAGGGAAGATGGCATGCAGCGTGTATTGCGTCATGTGGGTGAGAAGCTCGCTGATGTCAACGTTGTGAATCAAGTGGCCCATGGTGGCGGTGGGGTAATGGTATGGGCAGGAGAATGTTATTGACAGCAAACATAGGTGCATTTTATTGATGGCATTTTGAATTTGAGATACCAACGGAGGTGTGTGGCGCAGTGGGTTGTGCGCTGGTGTTCGGATCAGGGTGTCACATGTTCAAACCCCACTGCAGTCAGCATGTCGTTGTGTCCCTGGGCAAGACACTTCACCCCAAATTGCTCCTGTGGTGATTGTCCACAGTATTGAGTATGTAAGTCGCTTTGGATAAAAGCGTCTAACAAGTAACATGTAATGTAATACCATGACGAGATCCTGTGGCCCATTGTTGTGCCATTCATCCACCGCCATCCCCTTATGTTGCAGCATGATAATGCACGGCCCCATGTTGCAAGAATCTGTACACGATTCCTGGAAGCTGAAAATATCCCAGTTTTTGCACGGCCTGCATAATTTACTCCCTGGACATGTCACCCTTGAGCATGTTTGGGATGCTCTGGATCGGCATATATGACAGCGTGTTCCAGTCCCGCCAATATCCAGCAACTTCGCACGGCCATTGAAGAGGAGTGGACCAACATTC